CATAAGTACTGTGTGTACACACACACACACACACACACACACACACGATGGCACTAGTATTCCCTGGAACATTAAGTAGTAATTTAGTTTCTTTCCAGAAGGGCACTGGTAGAAATGTAAAGTTGATCTCAGACCAACTAGCCCTTTGCCAGGTCCATGTGCTTGCCAGACCATCTGCCCACCCGGGAGAAGAGACCAATGCCAAAGGAGCAGCCATGACCGTGCCAGTTCAGCCAACCATCCAATCGTGTGAACCTGAACTAAACCTTTCGTGCAAAGGCAGCCAACAGTCCCTATTTCCTAGTCAGGCCCCAATTGCCAACGATGTCTCCTGCTAGGATCTTGGACTCATTGCAGTCCCAGTGTTGGAAATGGGAAACTTCAGGAGCAACAGTAGAAATCAACAAAAATAGAAGATAAGCTGAAGGGCTAGGTAAACCATCCCACATTCAAGAGGAAAAACTAGAGACAATACAGAAGTCTGGGCACATCAGACTCATCCCCCTCAAAGTAGTTCCCAATGGCAAATAGTCCTTTTCTGAGCCTGAAAAACAGGAGCCAAGGGCTCAGTTTCAAAACCTGCTGGGCGCGCCCTTTCCTTTCCGACTGGCAGCCTTCTCCAAGGAGGTAAGCTACTACCTGCGGTCACCAGATGAGCACTGCTCTTGCTTCCATTCACACGCAAACCCAGTCCTTTCTGGCTGGCAATCTGGACATGAAGAACCTTCGAGAGAGAATACCGCTGTCTAATAAAGTTGCTTAGTCCTCCAAGTACCGGAACTCTCTATTATCTTGAAAACTTTTCTGTAATGTTCAGTCTACCAAAACGAAAAGTTTATTTAAAACATAAAAGCGAGAGAAACACCCTCATGACGTTTTTCAGAGTCAGTAGGAAGAGAAGCAAGACCCAAAGAATTCCAAGAAAACATTGCACAAACATTTCTTAAAAGGAACTCCTCTCCTCCATCCCCACCCATCTCCACTTCCTTCCTTCTGCCCCTCGCCCTCAAGGCTTAAAGAATTAATGGAAAGTTAAACCAGAAACTGTTTAACTGGTTATGGGGGTGAGGAGAGTAGGTTGCAGGGAAGAGAGATAAAAGCAGGAACTTCCTGATATACTTGTCTATGTAGTTTGGACTTAAGGTACATACTCAAAAAATTAAATTAAACAAATGAATGGAGGACACTCCTAGAGGTCAACAAACAGACCTTGAACTATTTACAGGTTCTTTTTATCTTTTTAATTAATTAATTAATTAATGTTTGGATCATTTTTTTGTTGTTGTCATTTTGTTTTCCTTTGTTGCTTTGTTTTGCTAAGTCTTGTTTTTTGGTGCATATTATTATGTTTGCAGGTCTATCTAGATAAGATAGGCTGGATGAACAGTCTGGAGGAGAAAACAAAGGGACCAATGGTTCCAGGGGGACATGGGAGAGGGAGA